TGTCAGGTATTTTAACATCAGTGAGGAAAGTACTTGATATAGGCTATGAGCTTTTTCATTGCTTTATAAGGTGAAAAATTATATAGCAGTACTGGAGATTAAACCTAACATGGTGCACATGCTAGGCAGGCACTCTGCCACTGACCTACAGCTCCAGCACTCATTCTTCACATGGGAAGATGAACTTCAGGCAGTGCAAACTTGTGGATGAGAAGGGAGCAGGGCAACACTGTGGAGGCTGGTCAGGTCACGAGCTGAAATTGTCTCCCATCACCACAGGAGGCTGCTCTTCTCTTCTGCAAGTGGGAATGGCCAATGTAGAGTGCACTGAAGAATCTTGGGGAGAATGTGGGTGAGTTATGGAGAGAGCAAACTGACAACCCAATGGTACCTATTATATAGAGGGCAGTTTCCCAACTGCAGTGAGGGACTGAGGGGGATGATGTCCAGGGCCGCAGTGAGGGGTTGAGGGGGATGATGTTGAGGGCAGCAGTGAGGGGCTGAGGGGGATGATGTCCAAAGTAGCAGTGGGGAGATGTCAGGGGATGATGTCCAGAGCAGCAGTTAGGAGATGTCAGGGGATGAAGTCCAGGGCAGCAATGAGGGGCTGAGGGGGATGATGTCCAGGGCAGCAGTGAGGAGATGTCAGGGGATGATGTCCAGGGCAGCAGTGGGGAGATGTCAGGGGATGATGTCCAGGGCAGCACCACTTTGGGGAAAAAAGGGGCTTCCCTGGTCACCCATGGCAGTTCTGCAGGAAGCCTGCTACGCTTCTGCTCCACTTCCTCCAGCTGTTGGTAGCATGGGGGAAGGGCAGGCTTCTGGACTCTTCACCTCTGTCTTAGTTTGTTCTTCATTGCTGTGACATAACACTCTGACCACTACCAACTTGGGGAGGAAAGGGTTTATTTATCTTATATCTACCTGGCCACAGTTCATCAAGGAGCCCAGGGTAGGAACTCAGGGCAGGAACCTGGAGGCAGGGGCTAGAGCACAGGCCATGGAGGAACGCTGCCTACTGGCTTGTTCCTTGACCTCTGCTCAGCCTTCTTTCCTATGCAACACAGGCCCACCAGCCTACGGGTGTGGTACCACCCACAGTGGGCTGGGCCCTCCCACATCACTCATCAAGAAGATGACCCTCAGACATGGCCACAGGCCAGTCCAATAGAGGCAATTCCCCAGTTGAGGCTCCCTCAACCCAGGTGTGTCAGTTGACACTAAAGCTATCCAGTACAATTGACCCCTTGTCAACTTGACACACAAACACTTCTCTATTAAACGATAACCTTTCCAATTCTTGACCCCAAGATATGATGTTAACATAAATATCACAACATAAGACAGTACAACCTTAAAAACCCCACAGTCCTTAAAAAATCCAAACACTTGAAAGTCCATAGTCTCTTTTTTAAAAGTCTCAACTATGGGTTGGCTTTTGTAAAATCCAAAACAAGTACTGTCTTATTTCAAAGGGAAGACTCCGGCACACCTAAGCAAAACCAAAGTCCAGCAAAGTAGCTCGAGGCTGGACATCTGGGATTCACTCACAATCTTCTGGGCTCCAAAGGGTTCTGGCAGCTCCACTTCTCTGATTCTGCAGTCCACAGCACACACAGCTCATCTCACAGACCCAGGCCAGCTCCATTCTACACCTGCCGCTGTCCTTGGTGGTCGTCCCATGGTCCCGGCATCTCCAAAAAGCTGGGGTCTCCACTGAAACGGAGGCTACACCTTCACCAATGGCCTCTTCTTGTCTCTTGGGGTACAAAGGCCTCAGATTCTTTCCATGACCCCTTCAATCCTGGGGTCTTCACTGCAACTGAAGCTGCACTTTCACCTATGGCCTTTCCTGGCCTCTCAGAGTGCCAAGCTTCAGCTGCTCTCTGTGACCCCTTCACGCTTTCAACACCAAAACCAGGCAGGAGACTCTTACACATAACCAAATCCTGCTTCCAGCTTGAAATAGAGGTGCGGGTCCCCTCTGTGCTGACCCTGAGGAAATACCTCCCAGAAGGTTTCACCACAGTGATGCTGTATCTTGTTACTTACAGCTGATTTTTCAGCCCCAGCTAACCAGCATCAGCTGTCCCAGTAAAGCAAAGGTTTTACTTCAGGTTCTGGTCTCTTCTTAATCACAGACAGCCCTGATAGTCTCTGCTTCCTTTTGAAGTTTCACAAGTCAGGCCTCCATCATCCACAACTCTTTTAGTATAACTGTTCCAAGCTCCACAGCAACAAACTCTAAGCACTCAATGGCTTTTCTAGCCCAAAGTTCTGAATGCTTCCACAGCCCTCCCCAAAACACCAAGGTCAGGTCTGGCACAGCAATACCCTACTCCTGGTACCAATTTCTGTCTTAGTTTGTCTCTTCATTGCTGTGACAAAACACTCTGACCACTACCAACTTGGGGAGGAAAGGGTTTATTTATCTTACATCTACTGGGTCACAATACAAAGAATCAACAAATCCAAGAGCTGGTTCTTTGAGAAGATAGATAAGATTGACAGACCGCTAGCCCAGCTAACCAAAAGAAAGAAAGAGCACCTCCAAATCAACAAAACCAGAGATAAAAGGGGAAACATCACAACAGACACCAGAAAGATAGAGAACATTATAAGGGAATACTTTAAAAATCTATATGCTACCAAATTTGAAAACCTAAAAGAAATGGATGGATATCTAAAGGCATGGGAACCACCAAAACTAAACCAAGAAGAGATTAACAGTTTTAACAGACCCATAATACAAAAAGAAAGTGAAACACTGTCCTGGTTTGTTTCTTCATTGCTGTGACAAAATACTCTGACCAATACCAGCTTGGGGAGGAAAGGGTTTATTTGTCTTACATCTCCCAGGTCGCAGTTCATCAGGGAGCCCAAGGTAGGAACTAGGAGCAGGAACCTGGAAGCAGGAGCTGGAGCACAGGCCATGGAGGAATGCTGCTTACTGGCTTGCTCCCTTGGCCCCTGCTCAGCCTGCTTTCTTATGTAACACAGGCCCACCTGCCCAATTGTGGCACCACCCACAGTGGGCTGGGCCCTCCCACATCACTCTTCAAGAAGATGCCCCACAGACATGGCCACAGGCCACTCCAATAGAGGAAGTTCCCCAACTGAGGCTCCCTCAACCCAGGTGTGTCAAGTTGACACTAAAGCTTTCCAGCAAAACCTCTAAGAGCCTGGTTGGGATTCTTCTTCATCCTGGTGTTCTGCCTGTGCAGAGGATGAAAGGACCAGATTGACCCCTGATGAGTGAGACATCTCACAAATCAAGGATTGAAGGCCCCACCCTTATGTCAGTCAGTGTAAATTGAAGTCTGTCTGGCTTGCTGGCTCACTTCCTTCAAATCAGAAACTCAGCTCAGGAGAGTAACTTGGATTTATGCTCTATTTCAGGTGTGTTTCCTAGAAGGTATAAATTCCTCTAGTTGAAGGAATACTGCTAAAGCAGGTCAATGTTAAAAGCCATTATGGGGAAAGCAAGTGAATACAGAGAGTCATTGCCTCCATTCTTCCCCACATCCCTCCAAAGTCTCAGGATCCAAGTTTAAAATCAACACAAAAAGTAGTTGCACACTTTGTTTACATATCCAGCCTTCTTGGTTTATTTATCAACTAATAACAGTCAAGTTAAATAGGATGTGATTTAAGTTTCTGACACTTGGTCACCAGGGAGGTTTTGTACCCTTTGGTCCTGATTCTGTCTTCATTTCCTGACAACTGGGGTCACTCTTTGTGGCTCCACTGTGGCAAGAAACAAATGCTGTCCTCCACTCTTCAGGAAGATAGCACGTGTCATTAATGAACTCACGACAGCTGAGCATGGCAGGTGCAGCCATCGCTGTGCCAGTCACTGCAAAGCCACACCCATACATGACATAATCTTCATATTCTAGGAGGTGCAGTTATCACCCTGTTTTGCTATGGAGGGTATTGGAGCACAGAGACCTCAGTGAGCTGACCAGGGCTAGACTGCTCATTGGTGGGAGCCAGAGGGCCAGGCAGGTGCAACTGAAGGGTCCAGATTCCAGCAGTCAGCTCTACAGTTGTTCAGAAGTCCTCCCAGGATGGTTTTCTACACAGAGTTTTGATGCCTCTTACCTCTAGAACACAAGGCTTTATCTAACTTGTCTCTTCTTTCTTCCAGCCTTATCCCTTACCTCTGCTCTAGCATCTAGCCCATGCTATGGCTAGTGTTTCCAAAAAATGGGTGAGGCTGTGACCCCTTGGTGGTAATAATCATATATATTTACTTATTTACTTTTTATGTGTATCAGTGTATTCCCTACATGTATGTAAGTGCACCTATGTCATGTAATGTCCACAGAGGTCAGAAGAGAGCATCAAATTCCTCTGGAAATGGAGTTACAGATGGGTACTAGTCACCATGTGGGTGCTGGGAATTGAACCCGGGTCCTCTGCAAGAGAAGCCAGTGCTCTTAACTGCTGAGCCATCTGTCTAGCCCCATAATCACTTTTTTTTTTTGTTTTTGTTTTTAGATAGGGTCTCACTACGTAGCCCTGAATGGCTTCACACTCACAAAGACCTGCCTACCTCTGCCTTTCAAGTGCCCAGCTTCGTAACCAATTTTTTCTTAAAAGTAAATTGAGAGTAGATATTACTAGCAGCTATCTACACAGAAAGATGAGCTCCTTTCAGGAATGCTTCTGTTTTATTTCAGCAACATATGTGCACGTGTTAGGTCTTGATACAATGGCAGTTTTTACTGGAAGCACAGTGGAAAAGGGTGAGAAATCTAGGGCAGTTTCTCCAAGTCATGCTTCTAAGTGACACAGAGAGAGTAACAACCAACACATCCAGGTCAGTGTTTTATAAAACTGAATGAACTCATTTGTAACTTTAGGCTTGGTGCTAGGCTACCGAGTTGATTTTTTAGAATTGTGAAGGAAAAACCAGGGTATCTAATTCCATAAAAATCATGGCAAAGCAGAAAAAAACACATGCAAGTTACAGACACGGAGCAGCAGCACCTTACCTCTGCGTCCTGGGTATACATGAGGGTAGTATTCATAATACAGGTCTGGCTGGTCCAGATTTCCAAAGGGTTCAAATTCCATTTCAGCATTTTGGAAAAGACCCAGCTTTACCAGCAGCGCCAACCTCACAAACCAGAGCTGAAATGCAGGATAACAGGTTATCCTCACATGGCAGGTGAGACTCCTTTTTCTTTTTTCTCTAGAGCCTGATCTCTAATACACCAAAACAAGCACTAGGCTAACTTGCTATCTTTGCATAATTACACAGTTACATGTTTATAAAAGTACCACTTAACTCTGTATCAACAATGTGAATGGTTTTATTTCATTGAATCTAATTCAGTAATATTGAGCAAGGTGGGAGTGCCAAGCACCACATCAGCTTATGAAGAGAAAACACAGCCCCTGCTGCAGGGAACCATTGTGGGCAAGTAGAGAGAGGAAGAGCAGGGAAGACAGGGAAGGGTGTGCACACACAGATTACAGGATTGGGGATGGCCCTGAAGGCTAAGCAGGGTTTGTAGGCACAGGGTTGAGTGTGAACACTGCTCAGAGTCTGCAATGTGTGTGAGTACAGTGAGCTCCTAAGGAGCCAGAATGCAGAAACAGGCAGGAAAACAGAGATTCAAGTTGGAGTGATAGAGCCAGATACCCTTAGAATGAAAAAGTACCCCAAAATGGGCTAAGAATGTCTCACCTTACTGATGAGAGGGTGAGGTTCATTGTGTCTACTGACATAAAGAAAACAGTATCTGGACACAGTTGGGCACCAGTCAGACTGAGAGAGGAAACCCCGGCATTTGAGATAACATGGAGGATATTATGCTAAGTGAGGTACACCAGGCACAGAGAGACAAACACTCTTCTTGTGTATGGAAACCAAGTTTTAAATTCATAGAAGCAGAGAACAGAATGGTACCTACTGGGTCAGGGATATGGTTGGGGAGATGTTGGGTGAAGGATGTGAAATCTGTTAAGACAGAAGATCCAAGAAATCCATTGTACAACATGGTGACTAAATAATGTGTTATATACCTGGAAATAGCTAAGAGTTAATACTGTTTCAAACACACAAAATATGAGATAATGCATGTTAGATTGGTCTACTCAACAACTGATACATACGTCAAAATGTTTTGTTATATGCCAAAACAAAACAAAATGAAACAAAACACCTAACAAAGGAAAGGGCAGGCCTTCAGAAGCAACTGTCCAGGGTTAGTGAGTGACAAATGAAAAGACGGGCCTTCAACTGGAGTCTGCTCCACTCTGCCTCCTGAGCACATTGCTCCACGGAGGCTGCACACAGGACAGGGAGTGGTGGGAGGCTGCTGCCTTTAGAAAGTCAGAGGAATTCAGCTGGGCTTTAGGAAGATTAAGTTGGTCATAGTTTCTGAAAAGAGCATGAGGGTGTGGTGGCCTTTAGTCCCAGCACTTGGAAGGCAGAGGCAGGGGGATTTCTGTGAGATCTGGTTTACATAGCAAGTTCCAAGATCCAGGTCAGCTGGGGCTACAGGGAGACCGTCACCAAAAAAAAAAAAAAAAGAACAAGAACATGAGGTCACCAAGGCACCATACCACCGAGTGTGAGACATGAGGAAACCGTCCTGGGGATGCTGATGGTATATTTCATTCTCCAAGCACACAGACTGTTGGTGGAAAGACTGGAGAACAGGGAGCCAGCCATCAAAGCTCTTCTCAGTTGTAGTCCATTCTGGGACTCCCAGGGAAGTTAGAACTAAAGTTAAGAACTCTGTAGGGAAGGGTAAGGTCTGGAGGACTTCCAAGGCCGCTCCTCAACAGAAGGGTTTCCTTCCACTCACAACTCTTTACTTTTCCCTATTTTAGAGCAGGTGAGGTCTGAACTTGCTGACTGAGACTATGAGACTCCTCAATCACAGTGCCAGGATTAAATACAGATAGTCTGGAGAGGAAGAACCGGAGTAATCTCATGTGGGGTTAGGGTTAGACTGTGGAAATCCCTGTCTTGTTCTTGTTCTGACTGGCATGAGAGGCTATATTCTTTGTACATTCCCAAAAAAGATAAATCAAGTAACAATATGACAACCAGAAGGTGTTCTGACCTGTAAGGAGTCCGTCGTGTGGCTGGTGGGCAGCCCACTCTTGCCATAGCCTTGGCCATGGGCTGTGAGTAGGCGTCCACACAGGTCGACTGCTGCCCTCCAGTTCTTGCAGTTCTGTAAGACAAAACAGGCTGTGTAGCCACTCATGCACTTGCTTGCTTTGCTGGAAGCAGTTCTATCCAGCTCTTAGTAACAAGGACAAAGGCAACTGCCTGGCCAGTGAGAGGCAAATGTCACTTGTCAATACTGCCTGTATGACTTGACAATAGAGGTATAAGAAGAAGTTATTGCACAAGACATTCAGATCATAATATTAAAACTGAACAACCATTCAACATGGAGAAGAGGGTTCTTACTGAAAGCTCTCCCTGGCCCCCAATGTGTAAAACTGATTTCCTTTTTAGAAAAAAAGCTCTAGTTTGTGAGTTCTGTCAATTTAGAACCAACAATTAATTTTATGCTGTATTAGACATACTTATTTGTATCTATAAGATCTACATGGACTGTAAAATAAAGCATTTTGGGGCTGGAGAGATGGCTCAGTGGTTAAGAGCACTGGCTGCTCTCGAGGGTTCTGTTCCTAGCACCCACATGGTGGCAGCTAACACTCATCCTTAGCTCCAGTTCCAGGAAATCTGATGCATTCTTCTGGCCTCTGGTCCTGGGTGACAGCATGGGTGCCTACACACTGCATGCAGCTATGTGTGAAGAGAGGAATATATGAGGGGCTGGAGCTTCAGGGCAGCTATGCTCTGTGCAGACCAGCTGTGTGCTCTGATACTCCACTGCCCTGGGTCGCTGCAACTCAGCTCCTGCCAGAGTACCCAAGGTGTTGAGTAACATTCCACTGAATGGAGACATGTTTCCCCATTCACCCACTGAAGGACACCATGGCTGCCTTGAGCCTGTGGCTAGTATGAATAAGGCAGCTATAAACATTTAGGTGCGGGTTTCTGAGTAGTTGCAAGTATTCAATTTAACAGGATGAAATGCCTAGCAGGTAAAGTAACACTTTCATTGCTGCACTGTATGGGAAGAATAGAAGAATGTGCTTAATTTTGTAAGGAGCAGCCAGAATGCTTCCAGAGAGGCTGTCCTGCTTCACCTTCCCCCCAGCAATGAGTGAGCACTCCCACTGCGCCACATGCCGGCCAGGGCTTGGTGTCATCAGTGTTCTGGATGTGAATCACTCTCATAGGGGACTGTTCTCATTTGTTGGATGAGTTTCTCAGGTTTTCCTCTTATTGTTCCTGCACATTCTTACAAGGGGCACCCGCCCTACCACTCAGGAAGCTGCATATGTGAATTAGACAACTGTGGTTTCTCAAAATTCTTCCTGTAGCTCTCTCCCTGACTTGGTGACCAGGAGACCAGTGTGCACACAGTGCCGCCAGGCTTTCTCCTTCACTGGATGCTGTCCCCAGGCAAGGGAAGTCTATGGGCTTCTTCAGAGTAGTTCACAGCCATTCAAGTAAGTCTGAGAATCAGCGGTCAACTGCGAACATGAACCTGTTGCCATGTTTCTCTAAACTGTCCAAATCACAGCAGAACAGTTTCAGTCTAGGGCTCCATGATCTGGTTGACAGCTCAGATATATTTTAAGACTGGTTAAGATAATTTACCAAAATGATCTTCAAATGCTTTCTCTAGTCTAAATTCAGAGCAATACCCACATTATGCAACACAAGGGGCTATGTATATTCTCCTTGAATTGCAAATGGGAGAGAGTGAGAGGGAATGGTCTGCAAAGCCGAAGCCAGCTCTGCATCTGTGTCGGGCAGACCCGTGCCAGCACAGCTCCTCACTGCTCCTGCCTGGGCTCCTGCTCAGGCATGTGGGGCTTGCCTGCTGGTGTCACTTGGTTTAATAGAGCTTGGCAGCCTTCCAAGAAAAGACCTGCACTGTGGATAGGGGAGCACTGATCCAGCCAGTAGGAGAGACAGGGACCCCAGAGAAGAGTGTGCACAGCCTTGGAGAGTGGGGAAGGGGAAGGGGTGCAGGGAGAGCAAGAGGCACAAAGGAGGGTGGGCTGCTAGGCAGGGGTGGGCTGCTCAGGTGAGGTAGATGGGGGTGGGTTGTTCAAGTGAAGCAGTGAGGGAGGGCTGTTCAGGAAGAGGTGGGTCACTTAGGTGAGGAGAAAGGGAGGAGTGGGAGGCAGGTGAGGTCAGACTTTAGCAGTGTTTGCCAACTGCCAAGAGCACTGACAATAGCAGGGAGGTCATCACACTTGGGAAGCATGAAGTATACAGATGGGTGAATTCACAGGGCCTGAGTAGATGTGAATGAGGCAATCAGCAAGCTGCTCTGGGACCAAGGCTGGGGCTGATCTGTGTGTGAGGAGGTTCCCACACTTATCTGTGTGTTGCTGCAGCAAAGTGCCACCACGAAAGGCTCTGTGCTCAGCCATGGCAGAGCTGCATAGTTGCAACAGAGACTGCACAGCCAGAAGCTTAGCATACTCAGTGGCCTTGTACAGCGACTGCGGCTTGCTAAAGTGTAGGTGGCTGCTACTTCAGGAGGCCTGTGGTCTGAAGGCAGACCTGACTGGCCCAGGCTGACACAGGTAGAGAATGAGACACTGCCCTGCAAGGTGACAGGGAATCATATCAAACTGATGCAATAACAATAAAAAGGGCTTGTATCTGTATGCTTTTCATTTTTTTTTCTTATAATCAATTACTAATTTATGGTGATTACCACAAAAGTTGCAGCCTGCTAGAGATTAGAGTCCAAAATTGAAAAATGTAACTACCCTTTTTTTAGCAGGAAGTCTGAGGAGTCTAAGGGAAGAGGGCTTGAGCCACATGGATGTAAAGAAGGGGTGAAGAACCAGGTAAGTGGATACTGTGGCCAGGAAGGAGGGGGATGGGATGGAGCCTAGATTCTGACTTATGGCAGGGACAGGGAGACAGGAAATGACATAATTTAGGAATCTGAAATTTGGTTAAATTTAATTCAGATAATGTGGAATTCAAGAGTTAAGTGGAGAGAGAGAGAGAGAGAGAGAGAGAGAGAGAGAGAGAGAGAGACTCATATACATTTCCAACATCCGCATCAGTCACTTGGGTAGGAGGAGAAACCACCTGGGCTGGTGGGGCCATGGTAGATGGAATCTTGTGAGATGAACAAGGAGTAGAGAGTGAATAGAAAACCTGGCCCATGTGGACACTGAGATGCTATGGCCTTGTAAGCTTGTGGAGCTATGGAAGAGATCACACTATGTTCAGGAAGTGACAAAGTTGGGTGACAAGGGCTGGGGGGGAGGGGTAATGGTGAACAATGGGGTGAGGCAGGGCTGGCACCAGCAGGTGACTGTGGGGACTCAGGCTGATCACAGTGCAGCAACTGCAGCAGGACCACACTGGTTTGTGCATCTGTAATAGAAACAGTAGCAGGTGGAGCTGGATGAAGTGGCACATGCCTGTCATCCCAACATTTGTGAGCTGGAGGCAGAGGACCAGGAGTTCTAAGGTTAACCTGGGTTACATAGTAAGTTTGAGGTTAGTCTGGGCTATATAGCAAGACCCTGTTTCAAAAACAAAAACAAAAGAAAGAACCCCAAACAACAACAAAACCTTAAACTCAAACCCCAAAGTAAAGGGCATGGGTGTCCTAGACTATGAGCACCTGGATTTGGTCTGGATATCCCAGGATAAAAGCAATCCAGATCTTGTTCCCTCAAGCCCCAAGATTCAACTAGAACTGCCAGACAGAGGCAGTATGGAAAGAGAAAACTGGGAAAATACCTAGATGAAGAGACAGGGTATGTAATGGTTAGGCAAAATAAAACCTTCAGTTTTTGTAACTATTTATAAAAATTAGGAACGAAACTTAACAGTAGTTACTGAGTAGCTCTAAGCAGCCCTGCCATGCATACAAAGCAGGCACTGTTTACTTTGTTTACATTGTTTATTTTGGCATGACACAGAATGCTATCCTCTGTATACAGCAGGCACTTTTACTAAGTGCATGATATAGTCTTGTACATGTCCCTTATTGTTAGTACACAGCTGTCTTTTCCTTGCCCACTGGTGTGAGTGTACCACATTGGCATTAGTACTGTGACCGTGCTGCCTAGGGCTGATGTGACAGCTGGGGGAAGCACAAGTACATCTGTTATTCAAAAGAGCTTCACCAGAGACTTGCTGGCTACCTCAGAAAACACACCTCAGTCTGCCCCTGTCTCCATCCAGCTCTCAATGATCAGTGGCTACCCAAAGATGAACCATATCTAACAGAGTTTTATTCCTTAGCATTTAATTTCATGTGGGGATGAGGATGCTAGTGATAGGTAGTTCTCCTCTCTCTCCCTCCCTCCGGGGTGTGTGTGTGTATGTGTGTGTGCATGCGCCCACGTAGAGGTCAGAGGACAACCTTGGGTGTCAGTCCTCAGAGACTATCACTTTGCTTTTTGGAGAAAGGGTCTCTCACTAGCCTAGAACTCAATAGTACGCCAGACTGGCTGGCCAGCAAGTTCAAGGGATCCACCTTTCTGTCTCTACAGTGCTACTAGGATTACAAGCATGCCACACCATGTCTGGCCTTTTTCTGTGGGTTCTGGGGATCAAACTCAGGTTCTCATGCTGTGTAGCAAGCACTTTACCAGCTGAGCCATCTCCCCAGTCCCCAAAATATTTCTTTCTTGTAGCACTGAGGATATAAACACATTCAAAGAATTGGGAGCAGAAGTAAATTAATAGCAAAATGAAAACATTAAAAATGTTTACTCAAGTATGGCGCACACCTTTGATCCCAGAGGATCAAAGAGGCAGAGGTAGGCATATCTCTGTGAGTTCCAGGCTAGCTAGAGCTACATAATGAGCACCTATCTCAAAAAACAAACAGGGGCTGGAGAGATGGCTCAATGGTTAAGAGCACTGGCTGCTCTTGCAGAGGACCCAGGTTTGGTTCCCAGCTCTGACATGGCAGCTCACAACCATTTGTAACTCCAGTTCCAGGGGATCCGATGCCCTCTCCTGACCTCTGCAGGTACTGTATGCATGTGGCGCACTTACAAATATGCAGGCAAAACACTCATACACATGAAAGAAAAATAAAGAAATAAACTTAAAACAAGCAAAAATGTTTACTCATACTAACAAAGAAACACAAAT